GTCTTAACATGTTTATATTTTTTTTTTCCTAAGCTAACAAAAAGGGCTATTACACACCATTACACTAAATTGTCTGGCTGCATTTGCAGTTGTGACATCATTAATATAGTAATTGGTTTCTCTTTTGACTTTTCTTTTTTCTTTTTTCTCCTTTTGGCCTCCAAAGCACACACCTCCACGCACTCCCCCGAGGGTCATTTTTATGAGTTGGCAACACCCTGATAACAAATTGCCATTTAAGCTTTTCTATGAGTTCAGCAGCTACATAAAGGAGCCTCTTCACCACTCAGTGCTTTCTGGTGAGCGTGATGGATGGTGGATAGATGGATGGATGGATGGATGGATGCCAGGCATTTTGAGTGAGTCAGACATGAGCTGCATCTCATTTTTCTAATTTATCTTCTCAGTTTTTCTCACTTTGCAATTTCCTCCTTGGCCCTCCTACTTAAAACACGACAAAGAGATGCAAAACAGGAACAACTAAAGCAGTCCAATTGTAACAAATGAGACATTTGCCCCCAGTCAAGCAGCAAATGAATTAGCATCAATTACTAATAACAGTTTCCCAGCTTGAGAGTTTGAGTTTTTGTTTACACAAACGAGAGTAGTGACACATTTGATGTATTATTGCTTAAACCTGTACTTTCAGATGAGCAGTTTTCCATCTTAATGTACATTTAATCATGACTCTTCTTCCCCCTACTTCTACTAACTTGAGGATGAGGAGGCTGTCTCACAATGTTTGGAAATATTTATAGTGAAAACACTGAAATTATTCCCTTTATCATTTATCAACCCATTCTATCTAAAGAGAACCATTTGTACCAACAATCCAAATATACTTACACCCTTTAATTGGAACACTTGTTCAGTTCCTCTATATTTGACCCCCATTCTGTTGCTTGGTTTGAATGTTAGCAAATTGTCTTTACCATGTCTACAAGCCTAAATGCATTAGGTTGCTGCCATGTGGTTGGTGAAGAAAGGTGTTTTAAATGACTTGTTGAACTATGGCATGGTTGTCGTGCAAGATGGGTTTGTCTGAGTATTTTAGAAAATGCCGATCTGCTGATGAGTATTGTTGCTGACCATGTCCACCTCTTTCTGACCTCAATGCTTCCCTATTCTTTGATGGCTGCTTCCAGTAGGAGAACACAGCTGTGTGATGCCATCATGTCAATATGGATCAAAATCGCTGAATGTTTCCAGCACCTCAAAGTGGCCAGTGAACTAAAAGAGGAAACCAGACACAATCCTACAAAGAGATATTTGCCACATTAGCAGATTGTGACTCTTATTATTTTAATATCCTAGCACACATCATCTGTGGATTGACTTTAGCGCTTAATTTACAGCTTAATGAAGTCAGTCAGTGGTGGATGCAATGACCTGCATTTCCCAATCTACTTAGAATGTGTAATGTGTTGTTAAGGAGGAGGATGGGATGTGTGTCTCTCTCATCGCTGACTAGCACATTTAGACAGCACAAGAGTCCATGGATATGAACTCTTCAACCCATCTCGTCCCACTTGCTTCCCTCTTCTGCAAACAGGCAGCTGCACATTGAAGCAGACTGCGACCAGTGAAGGCAAACTGCGAACTCTCCATGTCTCTTTCCCTCTGCCACGTTTCTCCCCCTCCTATCAGCTCACCCTCCACCTTCAAAATCCTCCTTTAGCCAGTTGCTAAGCAGCACGGGGAGAGCTTGACAGTGTTGATGCTGTGTATGTGCGGGAGCACTTCCTGTAAACAGCCGAGTGGGTGCTCTTTGCTCTCAGCTGTAGAGAGAAAGAGAGAGTGAGACGAGATGGCCTAAAATAACCCTTTCTGACTCTCATAAGAGACATGGAATGACGCGCAGTGAAGGAAAAAAAGTGTAACTTCATACCAAGTGAAAATTTCACAGGGAGCTGTGAAAGCTGTTGAAGATAACTACAGGAGCTTCAGAAGCTTTTTGAACCGTGTTTTCTTTAATGCCAGAAAGCATGAGGCCTGAAATAAAAATGAACAGAACTGACAACGGCCATTTAGGCGGCGAGCTAGTGTCATTGTGCATACAGCGAGCCCATTTGTGTGTGCACAATCTCGCTGGACACAATTCGTAAAGCATTGAGTCAGAGCAAATCTTGGACGGGGGATTTATTAAGTGAACAGACAAAAAAAACAATTCGAAGCTACACAGACTCTTTTTTTTTTTTTTTTTTTTTTT